GAAGTAACAGGGAGAGGTGGCTTACAATTTGAGATTTGGCTGCAGAGGGTGGGGGTGGGAGGGAGGGGATTTTCACTTTTACCCCATTTGGGGTAATTTACCCCTGTTCCCTGGCCTATGTTCTAAATTGTATACCTAAGCAACTAATCAAATTATGCCACTGTAACAACAGTCAAGCATTAGATTCTTTAATACTTTGCAATGTTGAGGACTAAGCAAGGTGATGGTTAAACAGACCTGCAGAAGCAGATTTTACCTGAAGCTAAAAGAAGGCAAACAGAATCTTTATTTACTTGGCAATCTGTTGAAAATATTGATATCCCAGCTTTGGTGGTGAAAATTTGAAATCAGATGGGCAATTGCTCCAGCAGTCTCTTAAATTACTGATAGCGAGTTACTAAGTCTGTTAACTCTTGCTTCAAAAATTATCTTCATATAAGCCTTTTTTACAAATCCCACAGCATGCAATGATCTTATTCCTCAAGCTTTTTCTGAATGGAACAAGCAAATGAGCCACACAGCAGCACAATTTCTAACTGTTCCAGCTTCAAAAATGATCTTCAATATTAGGAGGTAAATGTTTGAATAAAGACCATGATACCCTTCAGAGGAAAAGTGATCCCAGCACTTATGGGTGCTGTTTCTTATAACAGAGCATCACACTGCTCTAATTAATACCATAGTATTATAATTCATGTGATTGCTGTGTTGCTCAGCATGATAGCATCTCTTTGCCTTTCTTGTTTTGACAGAAGGCAACAGCACTATGGTGAGCAGTTTTGCCAGCACAGAAAATAGCATTTAGATTGGTGACTCAGGCTTTCCCTCAGAAGGTTTTTCCAAATGAGAAGGGATGCCCGTGAACATTTTACATCTAGGGAGCACTGAGCAACATGATTCATTGTTGCATATGCTTCCATAGGTTCTTTCCCGTGGATTATAAAGCGGATATCTTAGGTTGATTTAAAATGCCTCATTTTTTCATTAATCTCACCTTCAGGCTTGTATACAACCTGAAGACAAGGGCAGTTTCCTTTATTGGACCATATGACTCCTATAGAAGCTTTCATCAGGCTGAGTATTACAGGCAGAGGGGAGGTGATGCAGAAGAAACATAAGAGTTCTAAAAATCATAGCCAGATGTACAGGCAAGGTTCCTCTGTTTTAAACAGGAACTGCAGACTCAGCTCATAGGAGGCAGATTTCAGGTTTCACCTCTGGTATACGTAAATTTGATTGTCTCTCCCAATCCTGTTAGACAAATATCTTAATTGTATGCAGAATCTTAATCTTTGAGGTTCCTTGTGGTTTAAATGTCCCTGATCTGTAGGAAATTTTAAAAGAAAACATACTGGTAAAGAAGGAAATAATACAGAAATGAAGCAGCTTTTATTCAGTCTTCTTATTGTGCTATCAAACAGGTTGACAAGTATGTTACAAAATAATAATATCTGGAGGTAAATGGCATTATGTTGTTTTTTAATATACTGCTAATCTTTTCTATCTATTCTCAAAATATAGACAGATTCTCAAACTTAAGTATGTACAGTTTTCATCATTTTCCCTGCCATTACTGTGTTTAGGGGAAAGATCACACATAGCATAGCATATTATGACAGATTCTGCAGTTTGGGACACAAACCCATCTACCCTTTCCACCCAAATACCTATCTGATAATGGTATGTAGATCAATGTGAAATAATTGATTGCTGGTTCGAATTAAATACTATCTTGAGTTTCTGTGCATTTGAAGAGGTCTAAAAAGACATTGCACACCACTGTCCTTGAATTAAAGTTGTAGTTTGCCATGAATCACTCTCCAATCCCATGCCATGACATCTTGAATGAAAACTGATACTCTTTAGCTCCACAGAACCTTATTTTCAACAGGCATTCTAAAAATTAACTGTAGATGCTACCTTGCACTCTTGAAAGCAGGGTCAGCTAGTCAGATAGCACTTCTCTGGAATCAACTGCATTTATGTCTGGATGGTCATGAGGTGATACATTCCATTCTATGTAACCTTCTTCAAAACATGAAGTCTTCCTGGATAGCGATTTTGGAAAATAAAATCTGTCCCCTGCTGTGGATCTACCAGTGCACTCAGAGTGGGATGAATGCAACTCAGTCTGTGGAATGTGCCGACAGTGAGAAAGAGCTGTCCTTGCTTTTAGCTTGCAGTTGACACTTTGCAGCAGAATGGTATTCTGTTCTGTTATTTCGTAGGCCACACAGCAACAACGACAATTGCAATCAGCAGCAATACGATCACCACTATCATCCCTGTAAGGAACCAAGATGAAATGTAATTATCATTGTAAGTATCTTCAATCTCAGAGATAAGTAAAATAAACAAAATAGTTTCCAGAAACCTTTAAACAAAAAGTTAACAGAGAAGAATGGCATCATTCTGGAAAGAGAATGCCTAAGACAGTGCTCACTGGTACTTACTTAGTTTTGGCATTCTGTGTGGCATCTCAGAGACATCTCAATAAGCATTGTTTGTTCTGAACTGGATGAGAGAATGGATGACATGCCTCTGATTCATATAAATAGGAGGCTAAGATCCTCCCTTCAAACAGTCTAAGTCACTTCTGCCAACAAATACATCAAGCCGAAGACCCACCTCCATCTGTTTTGCGAGTGATGTGGCACCTGTTGTAATGCAGCTTCTGCCCATGCTGCTGATGCAAATGCAAAAAGGGGGTCTACAATATCAATCTTCTTTCAGCCAAAGAACGGACATCGGAAAGGGCTTCCTTCGAAAGCACTGAAGCCAGCTTCAGTGCTTTTGAATGGCTTTCCGATGTCCGTCTTTGCTCATTTTTAAGTGTCTTACAATGTTTGGAACATGTTTTAAATGGTTGGAATAGTTAGTCCACCTTGTGAAACCTATGCACACTTAGTTTGGCTTTCTTCTGAGTCTTCGTTAATTTTTGGTGATTTTTTGTTTTTTCCCTCATTGAAATCCAATGGACGGACAGTCCAATAGATTTCAATGAGGGAAAAAACAAAAAAATCACCAAAAATTAATGAAGACTCAGAAGAAAGCCAAACTAAGTGTGCATAGGTTTCACAAGGTGGACTAACTATTCCAACCATTTAAAACATGTTCCAAACATTGTAAGACACTTAAAAATGAGCAAACACGGACATCGTTAAGTGAAATTCCCCCATAGAGAACATCGTTAAACGATGCTGAAAATTCCTCAAAGAAACCCATCGCAAAGCGAATACATCGTTAAACAAAGCAATTGCTAAGCGCGGCACCACTGTATTCAGTTCTAAAGTAAAATGATCACTGTCAGAATCCAAGGTTCTCGACTCTCACATCGTAGGTTGTTTGTCCTTCAATTGTGTTCCTTATGTTAAAAGTGAAATCGCACATTATTTTGCTATATGCCAGCAGGCATAATCTTACACAACAGCAGACTCCCTTGCTGTGTAGAATATCTGTCTAATATGCTAATTTTGGGAGGTTTCTATGCTGGTTTTCTATGCTGGCTTCTTTGCTAAGCAGTCCTTAGTTGACGAAATATTCTTGGGGAATGAATGCACACCCCAAACATTTTTTCCATGGAAACTCTTACTATGAATCTGTATATGAAAGCTAGACTTGCTGAAATTTAAATGAAGACCGTGAAGGAGAGCTGAGTTTGAAATGAGGATGAGGGAGAATGCCATATGGGTATAGATAGGTGGAACAGAATAAAATTGAAGCCTAGGCCTTTGAGAGTGCGGGGAAACAGTATAAAATGAGATGCAGCTACTCTCACGGTGACTGGAACTATGTTTCCAAAGAAAACAAGTGGAATCGTGCAAGGCAAATGTAAGCATAAATGTACTCCTGAAATGAGTCAGTCACTGGAGACCTATTCCCTCACTTATGCACTATGCAAAAGGGTAGCACAATGACAGGCACTGTCTCCAGCATCAGAGGGCTTCCAAGTGCCAAGCCCAGCCAAGTTAGAGAGTGGTTCTCTTAATACTTTTCTAGCATCCTTGGTTCAGCAATGAGAGATGCTCAGGCAACCGCTTCTCATGAAAAAATGTCATTGATTTTACAACTTGTACAACACAGAACATGGGAAGGTGCAAAAACATAAGCACATCTAGCTCAGCATTGCCTAAAGTGGCTGACAATGGCCACCCAGGATTTGCTACCCCTACCAGGGGTGCCAGAGTTCAACATGGGGACTGTAATATGCAAAGAATGTGCTCTCACTTGACTATGGTTTCTCCCCTGACTTCCGAAGAACATTTAGAGACGGCCACTGGTCCATAACACAGCAGCTCACCATCTGAGCACAGAACATCACAGAGGCAAACTGACGAGTGCTCAGGAATCTGCATCACCCGAAAGCACTTCCATTTCAATGCATTCCTTTTGTCCTACAAAAATTGCAAGTGGCTTTTGTCCAGAATTTTACCAGAGAACCTGTAGCTCTATTACTAACCTATATTACGAGGTCCAATTTCTATCAGCCCTATCTCAATGGCAAGGCATGATGGGAGCAGACATTCATCAACACCTACAGGGCACAGATTCTTCATCTTCACTTTAGAAACTGCCTCCTCCTGGGTGCTTTATTGTAATTTATATCAAGTATGCATCATGTTTGTCTACAAAAGACATACATACGGTGGTTTGTTGTTTTTCTGGAGATCACTCATTTTCTGGAAGTCCTTATATCCCATGACCCCAGTGGCATAGAGGCATATTTCAGTGTAAAACAGTAGGAATCCCATTTCACCACAGTAGCTAAGCAAATGCACAGTGTCCTGGTGTTTCTTCATGAAATATTGTCACTTGCCTTAGAACTAGAAATAAGCTCAGATCAACTGAATTGATGTTTCCACTAGGATGCACTCCCTGATTCTTAAGAAAATCAGGACTGCAAGTTTATTAAAACAGTAAATATTTTATTTGTTAGGCACTTGATTTTTAAAGCCAAGATTACAACTGGACTACACTGCAGCAATACCAGGAATTCCATGTAGAAAAAAGAGATCTGTCTGATATTACACACTATGCAAGATGCAACTTATGTCATTACAGTGGTGCCTCACATTATGATCGCTTTGTTTAACGACGAAATTGCATTACGATGAACTTTTTGCGGTTGCTTTTGGGATCGCAAAATGATGTTTCCTATGGGGGAATTTCGCTTTGCGATGATCGGTTCCCTGCTTTGGAAACCGATTTTTCGCAAAACAACGATTTTCCAACAGCTGATCGGCGGTTTCGAAATGGCTGCCGGGTAAATAAAATGGCTCTCCGCTGTGTTTAGGGATGGATACCTCGCAAGACAGGCAGCGAAAATGGCCGCCCTATGGAGGATCTTCGCTGGACTGTGAGTTTTAAGCCCATCGGAACGCATTAAACAGGTTTTAATGCGTTTCTATGGGCTTTTTAATTTCGCTATACGATGTCTTCGTTCTACAGCGATTTCGCTGGAACCAATTAACATTGTAATGTGAGGTACCACTGTATTTCTTTACAAGGGGGTGGATTACAGAACTGAACATGGCATTTTCTTTGTCAGCTATGGTTAGCAACAGGGGCTACCAATGGAGTTTGTGACAAAGGTCACCCGACAAACGCTGAAACTGCAATTGTTTCTCCAGTTACTGTCCTGCCTGACGTTAGCACAACTGAGTGAAAGTGTTGGACAACATCCTTTTAATGATCAGGGCTCTCCAAAAGCAAAAATCCTTGCAAAACTTATCAGCTCAAATCTTTTGCTGGAAGTTACTAAATCACAGAGTAACTGCAATAGGTTTATCAGATATGAATCGTAATTTTCCTTTCAATGTTATTCAAATATGAATTGAATTAAAATAAGCAGATAAAATAGCTGCACCATGCAACTTAGGATGCATTGTAAGAAATGGTGTTGAATCAAATATGAACAGATATTTAAATGGTAATGAACAGATGTTTAAATGGTCACCAAGTAGGCACTGTGTATAACCTAAATGTGGGACAGAGACCTACCTAAAATACCAAAACTGCCATCTTTGATATAAAACAATGGCTGAAATCCTGCTGCTTAGCGTAGTAAATCACAGCTAGAATAGGTCCACTGAATCAGCAGAGATTCAGTGAGTCAATACCTTCAAAAGTTCCACTGATGCCATGCGCCTGCCACTTAGCACACCAAGCCACAGGATTTCAACCACAGTCGCTCTAAGGACCAGATAAGAAATACTGCCTCTTTTCACACTGGCTCATTGGTTAGTTTAGTACATTTATTTATTTTTCCATTCTTGTGTGTATGATAAAAACTATAACTACCCCACAAGAATTAAGAAGTCAATGTGTGCAGATAAAACACAATTTCCATAAGCACTGTGCGGCAGTTGGCAAGAAAATCTCTTTGCTTCCTTTTATCCACTGATGCCGGCTGGTAAGCATACAGAATGAGAGGAAATAAGAAGCAGAAGAATTCCTGCATGTCAAACTCTGTCAGTAGAAGCGTATAGTGAATTTTCAGTCCAAAATGTTTATTGTCTCTATGATGAAATAATCCCTAGAGTTTATGGTCCCAAACCACATGCACAATCTGCCTGAATGAGAGGAAATGAGATAAGTGTTTCCCCTCATCTATCACTGTTAGCCTTCAATTTCTGGAGGTATATATATTTAACTCTGTTGCTACTTTTTAAAAAGAGAAATCAATGCCAGATAATATACTTTGCTATTTCCAAAGGAATTTCAAAGACATTCCAATTTCTTTCCAGAATGTAGAGCTGTTAAATCCTCCATTTTGAGCATGAATTGACAGTGAGGCCTGAGCACATTTTGAAAACATATGTATGTTCTAGTAAGAACAGATAAATCTCGTCTAGTAAGAAGCATTACTTGTTGTACCTTGCCTTTTAAATACATTTTCAATTCCAATTGTATGCTTGGAAACACTCTGGAAATGCTTTTGAATAGCCTAGTTCAGTTGTGCTTATAATTACCAGCTGATGATGGTTCATTTTAAAATTTTAAAAAGTGCACAGAGCCAAATATACTGCGTTCCTGACGTCTATCATCTGTAGAGGCAAATGATAGTATTACCTTCCTGGGAAGTGCATAGCATGAGAAACATTATGAATTCGAGGAAGATATTAGGCCTGGTTCATGTCATTATGTATCAGCGTAGCAGAAGAAAGAATGCTGTGGGATATGTAGTTTGGCTGAATTAAAAGACAACTAGGGCAAACGAAAAAAGAGGGAGGGAGGAAGGTGAAGAACAGAAGAGTATCTTTGAAAGATCAGATGCTTTTGCATT